GGTCTTGGAATTTTTAAGAAGCACAAAACACCATCTATCAAGTAGTATTACAGAGAGAGAGATGGAAGGAGGAGGAGAGAGGGAGAAAAAAAAGGAGGGAGGAGAAGGAAAAAAGGAGGAAAAGAGGAAAAGGGGTAGGGAGAGAGAGAAGGAAGGAGAGGAGCTGAATTGGATGATGCCTACAGACCAATTATCAATTTATAGGAAATAAAGTATCAAGGTGCGTTATAAACTGCTACATTGGCTAACGTCAGCAAAATGAAGACTGGATCTTGAAAGTTTTGCCTCTTTTAAAAGTAGGCAATTCCAGGTCTGAGGCAGAAAATGTATAAGATGAACTTGAGTAATTTTCCACAGCAGATAGCGAGGCAGCTGTGGAGTGGTGTCAGGTTCATCTTACGGAACATCAGCTTGTAAGGATTCCCATTGGCCAGAGTTGAGACAGCTGTGCTTCAAGAAGGAAATCACTGGATTAAAGCACTGAAGGAAAACATTGGATTAAAACACACTTCACACGTTACACGTGTAAGTTTATGGGTTTATAAATATTCATTGAAAAAGAAAAATATTTTATCCTGCCTTTTCTATTCAAACAATACCATTGGGTAACCAAAAAATATAAGTATTCTAGCTAATAAATGAAGGAATGTTTGAATTAAAATGTCATTTTCAATCTTAATAAATCTAGTTACTGAATATCAAGGACTGCTAAGCATTTCAGAAAGAGAGACCGATATATGATCTTCCTGATGGAAGCACAAAACACCATCTATGAAGTAGTATCACAGAGAGAGACAGAAAGAAGAAGAAGGAAGAGGCGGAGAAAGAAGAGGACAGAGGGATAGAGGGAGGGAGAAAAAAGGAAGAAGGAAAGAGGGAAGGAGGAAGGAAAAAATGAAAATAGAGAAAGGGGTAGGGATCGAAGAAAGAAGGAAGGAAAGAAGCTGAATTGGATGAAGCCTATAGATCAGTTATCAATTTGTAGGAAATAGAGTATCAAGGTGCATTATAAACTGCAACATTGGATGTAATCAGCAAAATGAAGACTGGGAAACTTTATAGGTCACATGTCCTGCTTTCTTAAATAAATTGCAAGGAAAAAAAGACAGTGGAGGGTGATGGACTGAACAATATGCCTTTAAAACAGATAAAATGAACTGTAGTGTTTAGAAATGAACCTTGAGTGATAAAGAAAAACAAGAGAGTGATTACAACGTGGGAGGCCAAGGCGGGCGGATCACGAGGTCAGGAGATCGAGACCATCCTGGCCAACATGGTGAAACCCTGTCTCTACTAAAAGTACAAAAATTAGTGGGGTAGGGTACCGTGTGCCTATAGTCCTAGCTACTTGGGAGGCTGAGGCAGGAGAAATCACTGGAACCCAGGATGTGGAGGTTGCAGTGAGCTGAGATGACGCCATTGCACTCCAGCCTGTTGACAGAACAAGACTCTCTAAAAAAAAAAAAAAAAAAAAAAAAAAATGGTGTCTTTTAGGAAGGGGTAAAGTTGTTATGAGAATAGATACACAGAGGATTTCAGGGAACCCTGGTAAAGTTCTGTGTCTTGGCCTGGGTACTGTTTAAAAAGTTGGTCACTTTATAATGTATTAAGCTCTACATTTGCGAGCCTTTCTAATTCTATGTGATATTTACACTAAAAAGGATTTTTTTGTTTTTTGTTTTTACGTGGAAAGATTTGGACAGATCAAGACAGAAAGGTAGCTTGAGCAGTACAGTGGTACAGAGCTGAGGTAGAGGGGCTTGGTGGATCACCGTGAGATCATTCACAGTCACATGTGGGAGGTGAACAGAGCTGAGGCAGAGGGGCTTGGCAGATCACTGTCAGATCATTCAGTCAGTCACATGCAGGAGGTGATTGAGAGACGTCCTGCTTCGTTTTACAAATCCAGCAAAACTCCGACCAAGCTCAAATCCAGCATCCTTTCTACTTTGATTTGCAGCTCAGTGTTGGTACAGAGAATCAGAAGACTCTGCTAACGAGTTTTCCTTTAAATTCATCATCTCTGACCTCAGGAGGGCCTGGGTGCCATCTAGCAATGATGCCGACTTCCTGTCCTCCTTCATCACTCATGCCTTCCTCAAATCCCAATCCCCCTCTGCCTGTCTGCACCTGGGCCAAAGCCATCAGCCAGGCCTCCTTTTCCTAAGAATGGCTGCCTTCCCTCTGAGAGCCAACCCCTCCACACATCCTTTAGATCCCCCTCCAACCTGCTCAAGGCCAGAGTTCTTTCTCTGGCCTAAACTGTACATTTGCCCTTCTCATCTCAGTCCTGCCTTCAGCATAGTATCATACCGTTCTCTCTCCATTTTCCGAAGTCCTTTACGATCCCAGAGTCCCCTCCAATGGCCACCCCCATCTCTGCTCCCCTTTTCAGGCAAACTCCTTTAAAAAAGTGTCCATTCTTACTTCTTTGGATTCCTCTCCTCCAAGTTTTTCTGGACTCCACTGAAATAACTCTTGTCAAGACCCCAGTGGCAGCCACACACCCAGCTCCAACCACAGCTCATCATGGCAGCCTCCTGCAGATGCGGTGTTCCCTTGGCTCTCGGGACACCTGGGTCCTCCTCAGTTTTCACCCGCCTCATAGGCTGCTGCTCCTCGGTCTCCTTTGCTGTTTTCTCACCTTCGCTACTGAGGCTGGATAGTCACACCTAGCCTCATAACACGGTCAGGTTGTCATAGATCCAACCTAGCGTCAAACGTTACTAATAATTTCAAGGATGCAGGTAATCCTGAGATACAGGCAGGACCTGGAGACATTCAGGTCACCAGTGCACCTCCTCAGATCCTTCCTTGGTATTTGAGGAAGTGCTGTAGGTAGGGTTTATGTATGAAGCCTCTAAGAAATCCATGCCATAACCACTAACACACAAGCTCTCAGTTACACAAACTGGCTCATCATTCATTGCATCGGAACTATCTTCATTGTATCCTCTGATAATTGCACAGCTTATGACACTGTCCAGAGAGCCTTACCCCATAAATTCACAGATTCTAGTTTGTCTGTCATCCAAACTCTTAGACCACTTTTCTAGTAAACACTGCTGCATATGTGTGCCGTTCACATGTTTACAAGGAGACCAGATCATCTTTTTCTTTCTCTCCTGGGGCCAGAAAAAATGGGAAAATGGATTAGAGGCTCATGCTAATGACTTCAAAATTTGTATCTGGACCCATGCCTTTCCCCTAAACTACAAGCTTATTTATTCAATTAGCTACTGGACATTTTGACATCACTGTATAATAGTGTATCAAACTGAACATAAGCACAATAGATATAATGATTTCATGCCTCAACTCCCTACACACACACACACACACACACACGTGCGCACACGCACACACATGCACACGCACGCGCACACATGCACACGCGTGCGCGCACACACACACACACACCCCTCTTCTTCCACAGTTGTCCCCACGCCCCCCACCTCCGCCCCCATGTCCTGTGTTCTCAGGAAACAGGGAAATACATTATACACTCATGCCTGACTCCTCATTTTGTCTCACACCATGCATCCAACCTGACTGAAAATTCTGCAATTTCTCCCTTGATATTATACCCAGAATTCAACCACTGATCCCACCTCCAGCACTGCCTTCCTGGTTCAAGCCATGCCATCTCTTACATAGATGTTGAAATAAGCTCCTACATGCTTCTCTGCTTCCTGATCCACCCTGGCACCCCAGAGGGTATTGCGAACATAGCAGCCAGGTGGTTGTCTTTAAAATATTAGTCAAATTATGTCACGCCTCAGGTCAGAGTTCTGCAGTGGTTCTGGTATGTTCCAGAATAACAGCCAGGGCTCTAAAAGCAGCTGTGGGGGAACTATATATTCTAGATCCTCACGAACTCTCCAACTTCACCTTCTGTTTTTTCCCTCGTTCACTCTGCCTTCACCCCACTGCCCCGCTTACTGTACCCTGAACAACCGACCACATCAGCACAGTGGGGCTTGAACACTCCAGATATTTACTTAAACACACCTCCTTAGTAATGCATTCTGTCATCGCCTCTTTAAAACTGAAATCTCCACCTTTTTTGGAATCTCTCTCTTCCCTGTTGTTTATCCTCTTCCACACTTAGCACCATTGGAAATACTAGACGTCCTAACCTCTTGGTACTATTACAGTGCTGTGGATGAAGGCGGAGAACTCTGTTCGTTCACAGCTGTAACCCCAGCCCCTCAGCAGTGTCTAGAATGTAGTAGACTCTCCATAAGTGTTGCATTATTTAATTAATAATGGAGCAAATCTATCTGACTTGATCTGAGTTTATATTACAAATAATGTAAGAAGCCCTTGAAAATGATCTGGTGGAGTTTGGAATTTATTTGAAGGCTGGGGAAACCATTAAAGGAAATTGAGCAAAGCAGTAGCAGAAAGAAATGAAGTCAGGGACACAGGAAATCATGTTTTAAGAATAATGATAAAGGAAAAATGTGATGCTTTAACATTAGTCTTCTTCTAGCTCACTGGTTCTGTGTGGGCTGCCAACAGTTATGAGGTAGAACGTTGGGCCGATTTTCAAAATAACTACAAAACCTTGTTGAATCTGAAATGCTGGAGGCATGAAAATATATTGCTTTATAGGATTGATAATGATGTATGATAAGTGTTCATTTAATACATAAATATGTTCCTTAAAATATATATGAAATGAGATTGTTGAAATACAGTTCGTAGAAGTAATCTCATAAAATGTAAAACTTTGGAAAATCTGTTTTCTCAAGACAGAAAAAGCAAAGAGTAAACTCATATGTCTTGCCAGTTGAATTTGGTAGACTTTTTCTACATTAAACCCTACCTTGTCCTCCCCTATCAACCCCTGACCCTCTCCCTCCCCTTACACACACACACGCACATGCATTATTTTACTGACACTGGTTAAGCAAGAAATATAAACTGTGAGCTCCTAACCCTTTGGCTGAAATATACAGTCAATTTGAAAACTCACTCTGCTTTTTTGTTCACAGTACAACCGGTACCAGCAGTATGCTGCGGAGGAGTATGTCCTGCATATGGGGGGCGTGTTATGCCCCCGCCCTGGCTGTGGAGCAGGGCTGTTGCCTGAGCCTGACCAGAGGAAAGTCACCTGCGAAGGGGGCAATGGCCTGGGCTGTGGGGTGAGTACCGTCCCCCCCGGGGTGTGTGTTCCTGTCCTTGTTCGCTTTTGCAAATGGGCTGGGATTATATTTTTATTTTCATTTTCCCTTTGGAAACAGGCATCTTTGAGCTTATGTGTAAGAAAATACCTTTTAAATTCCTTTATAGGATTCCAGATTTGAAAATGTATCTGTTTCTTTCGGGGAAAAAAGTTATATTAAGATTTTCTGCTTTGGTTGCTTATGAAAGTATTGACTTTAAGATGCTGTGAGCCAGTAGGTCAGACTTTCAAACTTTTCTCCCAGCGCTCAGCTGATTCAGAGCAAAAGTGTATTCTTTCTTCAGAGTTGCCTTTAAGTAGGCAGGAGTGAAGGAGAAAGAATTCTCCATCAGTGACGTCTTAGTGGCATTGTTTGCCTAAGTATTTCAAGAAATAAAATGAAGGTTAATATGGAAAACTTGAAATGTTATTGTGTCATAAAAATCATTTTAAATAGAGATGAACAAAACTAATGGTGTCTCTTATGGAAGCAGAATAAGAAACGTGGAAAATGTTTGTTCTAAGAGGTGAAACCATGTCACCCGGCCGGCTTTTCAAATGAATCTATGGCTGCAAGCTGATGGCTCAGAGGGGAAAGAAGCATAACTCAAACATAAAAAAGCTTACTAAATAATAGGTTAAAGTGACAAATGGATAATAATCCTGATACTAAATTTCATGCAGCCTGGAAAAGTAAGGAAGTGTGTGTGCTTTTAAAAGTCTATTGAATTTTGATGGGAAACATTTCTTTTGAAATTGGGACTTCTCTGGGCGCGGTGGCTCATGCCTGTAATCCCAGCACTTTGGGAGGCCGAGGTGGGTGGATCATGAGGTCAAGAGATCGAGACCATCCTGGCCAACGTGGTGAAACCCCGTCTCTACCAAAAATACAAAAATTAGCCGGGCGTGGTGGTATGCGCCTGTGGTCCCAGCTACTTGGGAGGCTGAGGTGGAAGAATCGCTTAAACCCAGGAGGCAGAGGTTGCAGTGAGCCGAGATTGCACCACTGCATTCCAGCCTGGCAACAGAGTAAGACTCCATCTCAAAAAAAATAATAATAGTAAATAAATAAAAATAATTTAAAAAACTGCAACTTCATGAGGAGTTTTGTGCAAGATGGAGCACAGATAGCAGAGGTGTACTAGCTAGGCCTGATTTGGGGCTGAGCACTGTAAGTCATCTAGAAATAAATTAGCATTTGTTTTCCTTAGTAAAGCTTCCTTATGCCATGCGGTGGGGCTCACAAAACCCTGGGTTGTGCAATGGAGTAGAGAAAGTGGAAGTTGAAAAATAACGAGATACCATGGTGCCTAAGTGATACGTCTGGGTTCATAATCATGATTGCATTAGAATGAAAACTCAAGTGATGTTTACTCTCCCTGGAGGTGATGGAAATCAGGACACACTCTCCAGCTGTAGCCATCATCATGTGCTGAATACCCTGCCCTGATTGTGTGTGGCCTCAGCAGGTTGCCAACCTCTGGGATCAGAATGCTGGCAAATGTTATCTTTTAAAATGAGCTTTTAACAGATTGTTCTTAACAACTGGCTAAATTGTGTGCTTCTGCCCACTAATTGCCTGCTGTGGTTCCATCCTCTAAAGCTGGATTTTAAGATTTTAACTTTCCTTAGGAGGTAGAGAATTTCGTTGGGCCATCTTTTGCATTTGGTTGTTGACATTGCTTTAAGAATGTTGAGGAGTTTATGTAATGTGAAATCTTGAATATGTTTATCTTCCCTTTTTTATACAAGTAAATTGTAAGTAAATAACCTACATACTTAAGCTCCAAATCATGGCAAATTATTTTAGAAGTGAATCAAAATGCTGTAATATCTTCGGATTAAAAGAGTGTGCAGGCGTACTTAAAGGAGGATAGCTGTATTCTCACGGTTTCTTTCTCCTTGGGAAATTCTGGGTAATGTACTTTATTTGAATTTGTTGTTTTATTGGTTTTGGACGTGTGTTTGTTTGTTGGTGTGTGTATTAGTTACCTATGACTGCATAGCAACTCCAAATTCTAACAATTTAACATAATAGAAATGTATCATCTCACAGAGTTTCTGAGGGTCAGGAATCACCCATGAGTGGCTTCACTGGGTAGCTCTGGCTCGGGGATCCTTCTGAGTTTACAGTTGGGTTGCAGTTATCTGAAGGCTTAACTGGGGCTGGAAGATCCACTTCCAACGTGGCTCCTTCACATGACTGTTGGCAAAAAAGCCCTCAGTTCCTCACTTGCTATTGTCAGAAGGCCACAGTGCCTAACCACGTGGCCTTTGTCTTAGGCTGTTCATCTCTATGATGGCAGCTGGCTTCCCCCAGAGCAAGCAGTCCGAAAGAGGGAACAGTGAGGAAGCCACAGTGCCTTGTGGGACCAAACCCCCAAAGCTGTACCTGTCATTCCCACTTTATTCACTAGATCCAGCTCACTCTCAAAGGGAAGGGAGTTGGGCTCCATCTTAAAGAGTGTCAAAGAATTTAAGGACGTATTTTAAACCACAGCAGTTTGCAATTTAAAGAAGCTGAAAAAAGAACAGAGAAGTGATTTTCTAAAGGATACACTGAACTGTTTGCCTTCCTTTCCCTCCCTGTCTTTTTGCCCCAGTCTCCATACTCTTTTCCAAGCTTATGTCCATTCCCATTGCTTTGGCTTCTCAGCAGAAATAAATTGACCTCATCATTGCCCTTTTGTCTTCAAATCCCAAACTTTCACAGAAGGATGTTGACCTAACTTGACTGCTGAAGGAATTCCATAGTGATTTTTAAAAGGAGGTTGGGTTGAATGTGTGAAGTTCAAATCCTGGCTTCACAAACTACTAGTGGTCTTAATCTTTCTCAGTTTCCTTATCCCTGAAGTAGGATATAGAAGAGCAACTCCGTATAAGACTACTGTGAATACTAAATGAGACAGTAAGTATAAAATACTTAGAATAGTTCCTGGCATAGAGTAAGTGCAGATTTATTTAATATTTAATCAAAAGCTTAATGAATATTTATTCAAAACTCACCCAAAAGACCCAACATTCAAGGAAAGTTGCTTACATGGCATTCATTGGATATACTCTTCCAAATAATCTAGAATCAAGGTTGTAGCCAGATCTACAGCAGGAAATGGGGCACCTAAACCTTGCTATTTTTATATCTTAAAATAATCACTTTTCCTAAATACTACTTCGTGATGATGCTTTGTTTGTTTATATTATGATTGTTACATAGGAAATGTGATGCATGTGGCTCAGGACATCCCAACAGACTTTTCCACAAGGAACCATGTTGACTACTCCAAGTCTGATCTGAGTACCAGGCACACCTGTGTTTGTCCTGAGGAAAATTGCCCTTAAGGATGTTGATACACCAACTGCTAACATTTGCCTCTGACAGTTGACTGCTAGAAAATCTAAAGCTATAGGGGGCTCCCTATAGAATATATTGAGTCCATTAACACAATGGATTTGGAAACTGGTTTCCTGGCTTGTTTCCTGTTTCCTTCTTTCTCTTCCCATTTTCCTGATGCATGTTGTTTTGCTGTGGCTTGTACATCTTTTCTGGATTTAGGGAGTATAATGGAAAGCCATTGTCTGGAAGAAACTGTGGTTATATTATGTCACTTCAGAAGTAGAACATGACCCAATACATAAAAGTTAGAAGAAGATGACTCTTTGCTTACTCTTTGCTCTAACACTATGAACAACCAAGAACAAAATAAACTGCCTCAGGGAGAAATGAGTGCCTCACTCTATACATTGTCCCAGGAAAAGTCATTGGTAGCAAAGCTATAGAAAAATTATAGAGTCCTAGATGTGGGAAAAGCCTAGACATCATTAATTCCAGTGATTCTCAGGGTGTAGTTCAAAAAGTACAATTCTTACTATGTGGGTATGCAAGAAATATTTGCTGTTACAAAAAAAAATCTCTGTCATTTGTGGGATTTAAAATTTTTCTGAGCTGACACCCATGTGTTGAGCTCCAGGCTCCAGAAGATTCTGATCTAGTCATTTCACTCACTACCATGTGCCTGGCTGGTCTTCTGTACATCTATGGTTTCTACTGTATGTCATTTCCATCTGAAGGCTTCTGTGTCTTGAGTTGAGCTTTTGTAAAATAGGTGCTATAGTTAGTATTTACCACTCTTTTGTTCAAACATATGTGAATGTCCATTGGAAAATCAGATTCCAGACACTTTGCTCCAATGTGTCACAGACTAGTCTGTTCCCTGAGGAGCAATGTACCTTAATTAACAAATGAAGACAGGGATTTTCATTTAAATGGTGATGTCAGTCCACCAAGGAAAGGCCTGATAAATGTAGAATGGATACAGCAAATTTATTACCATTATAAAGAATTATTTGAAAGTACCGCCTCTCAGGATTCAAGTTGCAATGTTCCACTGAGTTCCTGTCTTTATATTCCTGTCCTAAATCTTTACAGTCTTCTTAGTAAATCATGTACTTGGTGTTTAACATTCATCGCATGTATGAATGAATGAATAGAATAAATGGTCTACTGAATCTTAATAATTGAGTAGTAATAGCAATAAACTATCACTTTTATTTTCCAGTATTAATCATCATTTATCCCAGTATTAGAAATGCTTACCTTGCCCCAACAAAGACCTCTCAAAAAATATTTAAGTAGGGGGATCCCAAGATGGCCGAATAAGAGGCAGCTCTGGAAAGCCACTCCCAGAGAGAGAGAGAGATGCAGAAGCCAAGTGGTCTCTACAATTCCAAACGAGGTAGCAGGTTCATTTTATGGGTCTGGTTGGACAGTGGGTATAAACCAAATAGGGCAAGTTGAGGCAAGGCAGGGCACTGCCCCACCCAGGAGGTCCATGCAACCGACTGGAGGACCGGAGGATCTCTCCCACTGACACTTCGATCCGGATACAGGCCTCCACCCAAGCCCTCTACAACCCACAGAACAGGAGATCTTCACCAGCCTGAAAAGCCTCAGCAAGCTGCCTAAACTGGGCAGAGCAGCAA